TAATGGTGGTTGTGGGTTTTTCGGGCTCTTTGGCCATGTTCTGAAGTTGTTCTTCCTGACCTTTCGCCAGTCTCTGTGGCTAGCATCTTCAGAGGACTGTAGTAGGAACTCTGTCCATGCTCTGTTGGTGTTTGTTGGATAGCTGAGTATTTATAGCTGTGGGAAACACCTTTTGTCTTTTTTTCAGGAGATAGGGAAGAACAACCTTCAGAACATGGCCAAAGAGCCCAAAAAACCCACAACCACTACCTGCAAAAATTTGGCCCCCTCTTTGCATTGTCTTCGGACAAAACACTGGCTCTATGGCTTGAAGAGCGGGATGAGCGCCGCCCCCTAGAGTCGGACACGACTGGACAAAAATGGTCAAGGGGAACCTTTACCTTTACCTTGCAGGGAGATGGGTTCTAATAGGATGGTCTACCCACAGGGGCTATTGGATCCGACTGGATTCCGAGATGCCTTGGGCGGGTTTCTGGTTGAGCTGGTTGACAGTGGCACTGAACCTCAGGTTGCCGAACAGTATTCAGTGGTGACTACACCTAAATGCCTTCTCTATTCCAGCTATCCAGCAGATATTACAATGCTATCCAATCTGCAAAAAAAGCTTATTAGTGAGGCAGCTAACCACCAAGTGGAATGCTATAGAGTGTCCCATGATCTCATAGGAGCTGTATACCATCTCTGGCCTCAACCGGATGTCACTACAAGTGAACAGTTCACAGCCCTTCCCATGCTAAGATTGAGACCATCCGTAGGGACCTAGATTCTGTTAGTATGGCAATAAGTCATAATGAGATGTCCAACACCCTGTCGTGTCCCATTATGCTGGATCGATTTCAGCCTATGACACCTGATGATGCTGACAAGGCACTTCTACCCTCTAAGACCATTACCTCCTGGTCAGACCTATGCTTCTCCTGTCTTTTAAAACCAGCCAAGGAGTTGACTGCTGAATGGGTCACTCAGATCATAAATGTCTCCTTGCAGGAGGGATATGCATCCTCCTATCTGAAGGAAACATGTATTCTTAAACTTGGAGATTAAGATTTAAATAACTCTAGTCCTATTGCCAATGTACTGTTCATCGGGAAACTGATCAAGAGGCTAGTAGCAGACCAGTTGCAAGCTTTCTTGGAGGACACCAACAGTTTTGATTAATTTCAATCAGGGTTCAGGCCACACCGTGGGACTGAGACAGTTTTGGTCACCTTGCTTGATGATCTGTTACACAACACTGCCAGGGGAGTATGAGCTTGGGGTGCTGTTTCATCCATACTGATCCTACAGTTGGGGTCCCAAATGAGTTGATCATCTTCTCTTTGCTATTCAACATATGTATGAGACTGCAGGGAGAGGTCATCCAGACATTTGGGACTCACTGTCATCAATATGCTGATGACACACAACTCTATTTCCTCATCTTCAGCAGGGGTAGATGTCCTGGAGAATTGCCTGGCTTCGATTATGCTATAGATGAGAGCTAATGGGCTGAATCTGAATCCTGACAGATCTTGCTGTTACACGGGGGTCCTGACCTGCCTGGATAGGGTCACCGCTCCCCCTGAAGGGTCAGGTTCACAATCTGGGTATGCTCCTGGACCTATCCCTCTCAATGGAGAATCAGATCTCAGTTGTGGCCATGTCTGCCTTCTTCCAACATAGACAAATTACCCACCTTCGGCCCTAAGTCACAGCAAATTTAGAAGACATGGCATTACCTTACCAAGCAAGCTACTTGCATAATACTTTCAATGTTTTATTTAATATTTTATGTTATGTTTGAGATGAGGATTAGTTTTCTGAGTTGCATAGATTGATACCTTTCCACTGACTGAAGGTTCTTTTACCCAGCTTTTGTCACCTGAATAAGGAAGAATAAGATTTGGGAATTTATTCTACCACTGCAACCTATTACTTCCCTCAAGATTTCCCTCCCCCAGAGCATTGGTGACTGTGGCGTTTACCCCATGGCCTCTGTTTGTTTCACCAAACACAGAACTCACAAAGGTATCCCAAGACGCCCTTTAACACGCTGCCACCAGCTGATCTCTTTATCAACCTGTATTTCCTATGAAAGACTAAGGTCAATTCAGTACTGAACTTTTAAACAGAAACAGGTTTATTGATTACAAGTCATTTTAGGAATAGTTCTTAAGCAAATTCTTAAAGTTACACAAAGCTTCAGTATTTTACTTTAACCTCTTCTATCTTAATTCATACATGTCTCATTCTGACTAATCACTTTGTAAACACTCTCTCTGCCTCAAACCCCCAAACTCTTTTTTCTTGTCTCTGTCTCTCCCTGAACTGACTAGACTCTGACTCACCCCACAGGGTGTTCGCTACAGGGACTCTTTAGAAAAAGTGGGGAGATGGCATGAGATTTACACAAGGAGAGTAAATGAGCAAATATCATTTCACTCTATGACAGAAATTTCCAATGGGGCAAAAGAAACAATAGCCCCTATAAAAGGATGTACACCAATTAGCTAAAATGCTTTGTTCTCACAGTATATAAGAGGAAAAATGTTAGCGCCTGTATTATTCTTATAATCTCATAATTCATACTTTTAGAAATAAGTGCAAACTGAGAAGGCAAATTAACAATGTGTAAGAGCATTTTATTCCCAATACAAACATAAATAATTGTACATCTGAGACTGA